TATCTCTCTCTCTCTCTCCATAGAATTGCTTTTTTAATTCCCCAATTGGTGCGATGTACTAATAATACAAAAGTAAATGACAAATGTGAATTTGACCAGACTTTCATCAATCACTTCTCAATCGTATTACGTTCAATCGTGAAATTTGCCAGTTCGATTTGCCAAACCCTATCAGATTATCAGTAGCATTATTTCCCACTTGATCTACTATCTAAGCAAACTGAGTGGAACAAATCGACCAGATAAATGCGGCACTTCGATTGTTAGTTTTATTATTCAACTGTGTGTGTGTGTCGGTCATCGTGCCACAGGATTATGAACATTAATTGACCGTGGGCTTACCCACTACGTAACACAGACGTGATGTGAAAACCAAGGAAAAAATAGTGAAGCACGTAATGCTACTCCAAACGAGCGTGAGACAGTTCCAAAGGGGTGATGATTTAGGGATTAACAACTTCGGAGGAAAATTGTGACTTGGGTCATTCAAAACAATCCTTAACACCATGCAGATCTGTGAACAAGGCATTGGTTACACGACTGCGACCGAAAACGGAACTACACTGTGAAGTTTGGGGTCAGCGATAATGCTGATATCGGGAAAATGAAAACTACTTTAGTTCATACCGTGATTGTGAATATTACAGCGTCACTGCAATCATGTCGGCCAAATGAGTTATATCACAAAGAACATTTCTGACACGCATTCAATCAATCCGTATGAAAATCCTCTGTAAGAAAACACACTCACTCTGAATGGTTTCCACTTTATCACTATTAATCTTTTGCAGTTTGTAGGAAACTATTGCACAGTGCATTAGGCGTGTTCATCGCCACATTGAAAGCAATGTTTGGTAGTCGAAGTGATCTGTTCTTTTTGGCAATCCCTTAACTGGCCATTTTCAATGTGCAATCCGGTCTGGGGTGAATCTTACCACCCAATGTTCAAACGAATTATATGTGTTTCAACAATCTGAATGAATCTCTCGAGTCGGATGTGTTTGCAGTCACTGTGTCCGGAGCAATTGGCCGCTCAACACGGTTGAACGTGTCTGGTTACACAGTGCCGGTTCAAGCTACCAAATGTCGTTTGTAACAGAAGTTGTAACAGGAGCTCATTATACACTGAAGAAAATATATATTTCTTTCTAGTTTTAAAACGGTTCATGAGCTGTTGGTGAGAAGAAGCGTTGATCGAATACTCATTTTTGGTGAAGATTGCTCAGCCTTTTGTGATAGTAGTTTAAACCCGAGGACTGCATACTTTTTCAGACGTAGATAGATTACTGTATTTGCTCCCGTTACCTAAACTTAGACGTTTTCTTTAATCAGGAGCCTCTCATAAACCTTATCTTTCCTTGTATCTAGAACAAAGTGATTAAATCAATTGAGTTTTGAAATGTTTACATAAAGAAAAGTAGTATTATCAGACCCGTGAATCCCATTCATCCATCTTGCACAATCTTGTAAGTGTTCAGCTTAATCAAGCGGAATGTGTATCCACCAACAGTGGATCAACGAAAGTAACTTGTTAGTAGCTGTAGCTAACCAACTGATCTGATATAGAACCTAATCTGACCTCCATCTGCAATCAACGAACAAACGTTAGGAGTGGAGCCGCGTCTTTTCAATCAGTCCCGCAGGGCTTCATTTTGGTAGGTGTGAGACGTCTGATTTCCGGATCAAGCTTACTTGTATCTATGATCTTAACCAAACTACTACTTGCTCGAATTCCTTGAGCTTGCAGTGTACAGCACTGAACTATACCTGTCTAAGCAAAACGCATTATATATGGGGATCCTCCTTGACACGAATTGTTTAGCGGTTTGCTTCGAAATCCCTTATTGAATGCAAACAAAACCATAATTCACACTGATCTTGACGAGGCGTATTAACAGTAGCTCCATTTTTCTCCTTTTCTCGCTTTCACCCCTGATATTGAAATACGATACTGACTTTACTTGAAATAACCAATGAACCCGTTGACTTTACCGTACGTGGTGCAGTTCCAAAAGAGTGCTCTCTCCATCTCTCTCTGTAGTGTGGTGTTCAACTGCTTTTCACATTTCCATCTAATTGTACTCCTTCCCATTGGGTTGCTGAATTTTTACATACACACATACACAATGCGTCGCTCGGGTGATACGGAGCATAATTTGTCGTTGTTATTCGTGTCGTTGTCGTGCTTTACATACACACAAACACTCAAACACGCTTATCACGGGATCGCGCTCCCGCGCGCGTGCCAGGTGTTCAAGGCTTGTGAATTCGGGTGGGATTTTGGTTTGCATCACACCATATAGTGTAGCAATTGTTTCAATAGATATCATTTCTACCCGGAAATTTCGTTTTCTTGGAAAGCCACGCATACCCCAACCTAATCTATCTTGTCTTTTTTCCTCTGAATGGTCTTGCCTTCCTGCCTCCAACGCGTTTAGCTGGACTTCTTTCTTGCGGTCCAAGCAACGGTACTATTCGACTGTCAAGGTATCTACTTGGTCGCCTATCCAGATCGTCGGCCAACTGGAGATGCATTTGTTCTATTCCCGGATGACAAAACTGCAACCAAGGCGTTGACACGACACAAGGACTATCTGGGTGATCGCTATGTGGAGCTATTCAAAGCATCTCCTTCAGAAATGGTTCAGGTATAATATTTATGTCCAGGGTTACATTGCAGAAATCTTATATGTGTAGTCTGGTTTAATTGATACAACGTGGAACCTGAATTTTCAATGACCTTTATCCTTTCATTCTATCAATATTTCAGGTCTGTCACAATGTTTCTCAGCAAACGCACAACTCAAATAAATCGCAGACCAATCTTTTGGATGCTCATGCTCGTGCTAGGACCACAATAAATGCACTGGGGTTGAACACAATCATCCCAACGTTGAACCCTTATCTGACGGGTGAACAACAACTTGCTTTAGCTCTAAAGAACCTTCGCCCTGGGCTACCTATACAACCCACTGTTCCTCTGAATGCCGGAGTGCTACCATCAGGTATTTTCCCCGTCACCGACATCCATTCTACATTGACTGAAAATCCAGCTCCAGACACCACACTGGAACAACTGGCTATGCTGAATACACTGGGTTTGAACCAACCAGGTCTGGTGCCTTTCGGTCTCAATGTTCCTCGACCGGTGCCATCTTTGCCTAATATGACCCCGGTTTCACCCACTTTACCTGGTTTGAGAACAAAGTCCACCACGGAACCGGTGACCAAGGATTTGACGGATCCCACAGACCCCGACTGCACGTTTGCTCGATCCTGGCCAGAACAGGGGGTTTCAGCGGTTCTGGAGTTGAGTTGTTTACCGTTGGAAACCTCGCGGCACGACATGAGATTGTACCTCGGACCTGCGAATTACTGCAAAGTTTACAGAATGTTACGCAAAGTGAGTACGGTAATGCCACTTTTTCTTCTTTGTTCGACTGTATCAGAAGAAATGAAAACAGTTGAAGTATGTATTATCTGATTTGTTCATAGTACCATCCATTACTTCATAGCAATGTGTGAAGGAGGATTTTACACAAACGTGCAGTAGTAGGGTTCCATCTTTGGTAAAGACAATCAAGCAGTTTCCGCTAACATTAAGGGTGATGAATCATACAGAAGGCACGTCAAAATTAACGAACTACTGATTGGAAGTCGGTTGCATTTCTCCTTCAAAGATCCTACATAAATAAGACAGCTTCTTCAACTGAAAGACCAACGACTTCGAGGGTTTTCACTCAAAGATTTCACAGAACTAGTAGAAACAGTATATGACCAAAACCACGGTTTTTTAAGTAAACCAGTTTGGATTACGGGAACGGCTTTTTAGCACCGTTTGGAATCACAAAGGGTAGATTTCCACTAATAAAAGCTACACACACACGACTGCTGGACGGAACTCCATCCACCTGACAGGCAGGTTATTTTTCGATTCCCAAACGCTTTAAACATAAACTTGTGTAACACATCTTTGCGTGACATATGGCATGAAAATTTCTAGCATGCAATAAAATGCAGTTCTCAACAGAAGAAAATCGTGCACCGGCATCGTTTTACACAACATTTTCCGATGATTCCACTGCTTGCCAAACTCTGCGGAACCAGTTCTGACTAAAATGTCAGATAACATATGATGATACCACCAGCAAGTTTCTTTGATTTGGTTCTGATGGTTGATGGCGCTATCAATCTGTTATTCATTCTCTACAAACCAGAGCCTTGCGAACACTCTAAGGAAGTATTTGTTATCTTCAATCGATTCTGGTAAGTTGTAAATGACTTTAAACATTTTGAAGACATCGGAAAGGCATCAAGGACCTCAATATGTAATTCAAATTAGGTTATGCTTTCTCACTCTGCGTATCATTCGACGCATTGATACAAAAAATAACCTTTTAGGGAGGACAAACGATTAATCAATCGATGGAGGCAAATCAAAATGGCCCCAAACATTACGTAAAATCTCACTGTACATCATTTGTATAAGATGATGATTCGCAGAGAATTTGTAACGAATTCAGATTGCGCCCCCAAAATCCAAGGGCACTTCCCTGCAGGAGTAAACTTCGCTTGCGGTTTGTCATGCACTTGAATATGTTTTGTTTAATCCCCTTCGAAAAAATAAAACAGTGAACTTTTCCCTGTTTGCTTCTCCCCATTCAACAGTATTGTAATTTCAAAGGGGAAATTCGTCGTGTATATGACAAATGAATCGTGAATTAAGAAAGTAGGGAGCATTGAACGGACGTCGTTGATTCGGTTGGGTTTCGACAGAGGGGCGAAACCACTGATCCAACCGGGAATCAAACCCAGAACCTCACGGGCAGAACGCAAGCATGCTACCCACTCGGCCACCGAGTAGCTGATCGGACCGTTCCCTTTCATTCTCCATTTACACGATATAGCACAACCTATCTTTGCGAGCTTGTTGTGGACCACAGACCTCGCTCGTCTCAGCACTAGCCTCTGGAGTTATGACTCGATTGGAAACAATTATAACTTGACTGCTTGTGAGTAATGGAGGCATTTGATTCAATGAGATGAGCGCGGTCTGTGGCCCGCAAGAAGCTCGCAAAGATGGGTTGTGCTATATCATGTAAATGGAAAATGAAAAACTGTCTGATCAGCTACTCGGTGGCCGAGTGGGTAGCATGCTTGCGTTCTGCCCCATGAGATCTCGGCTTTAATCCTCAGTTGGGTCAATGGATTCGCACTGCTGATGAGACCCAACCAGATCAAAACAGTTGTCCAGTGCTTCCTGGCTTTTCAGTTCTTGCTTCATTTGCTATATGCACGAAGAATTTCCCCTTTAAAATTGAATCAAAATCCTCCATTATTCACATGAAATATTGTAATCGCTGAATTAACATCAGCCGATACATTTATTCAACACCCATTGCTTTATCTTACTCACTCTTTATTTGCAGGAGATGTCGGAGACACAAACCACCTCTACTTGGTTACTATCCTTAACCGACACCACAGCAGCTATCCACCTGATTCGCGATCTGGTCCACCGTACCTTCAGTGTTGGTACAACAAACGGAGTAGCTAATCAGTTCAAAGTATTTCACAACGTGCCAACGTTCACCCTGTATCACGTCAGTCCGGATAAACAACTAGAAGTGGTCCCATTAGATGACCCAAACCTGGGCATTCCATTCAATAGAATTCATAATATAACCGGCAGTTCAGCTCAGAATCAGTCCCAGCGTCAATCGCAGGTGACAGGTCAGCAACAGATACGAAAACCGCAACTGCAACCGCAGCAACAACAACAACAAACACAACAACTGATCAACCCGATGCAATTGAATCCGCCTTTATCAGCTCCACCATTCCTGACGAGACAAGATGGAGGTTTACAAGTTGCATTAAACGGTTTTCCCTCTGCCCACCTGGTTCCAAACGGGACTGCGACCATTTCAACAGATCCGGTTTACAACCAACTCCTTCAAGGTGCGTTTTCTGCGCATACCTTCTTCGCGTAATAAACTCCACATTGTTGATTTCTTATGTGTGAATTACCGACTTACCATAAGCTTTTGGTCAGACAGGAATATGGTGGAATTATGTTTTCATTAGTAAAAGTTCTGTAGCCTCGATTTGAATGAATCGCACATATTTAGGGAAGTAACTTTAACTTATTGTGAATGTTATAGTGTTATTAACACAGCGATGTCGGTAGAGAATTATATTCGCGAATATAATTCTTTACCGACATAGCTGTGTTATTAACACCATAACATACACAATAAAACAACACATGGCGCATCGGTTTTTTCGATACACTCCTAACATCATTTGGTCACGATGTGTTGAAGACTTTAACTTGTATCTGTCAAAAGTCTTAATTTAAACAAACTACTCAACCTTGAGTTAATCCGGTGGATACCGGCGAGTTCCAAGGTAGACCTGCACGTTGATCGACTGATTCTGTGTGTACCTGTAGGGTGCATGGGTAATCCGAAAGTTCCACGGTAACTCCTTCCAGTGGTTGGAATCCCGTGGAGGCTACTGGCACACAGTGTTTGCGATGACGAGTTTCATATGTGAGAATATTGCTATCTTAGACCGATGCGTTTTAGGATCTGGGAGACGAGTTATGGTGAGTACTGCGATCAGCAATATGAATCAACTAAAACTATTGGTTGACTGATTCCCAAATTGGAGATTTAGAAACATGGCGGACACGACCGAAAGTCAACCAGTGAAACGTGCACGTCTGACGAAATGCTAGGTCGAGCATTTTCCTAGTTTCCTCGTATTTCAAGCCGAGATAAACTGTTCTTCAAAATATGTGAACACCGATGCACCAGAACAATTCACACTCAACTCCAACTGATTGACTAGAGCAATTCTCACTTATTACAAAGTAGAACGAGACCCAGACAAACGACTTGATTTGTTTTTAACGACACTGAATTGAAATTTTTTACGATTCGATAAAAGTTGCCATCTCTTCGTAAGGTGTCAGTGTGCTGCGAAAAGTGGATTGCTTCGATAAATCACATTTCATTGTTTGCGATAAACCCCTTTGTTAACTTGCTATCGTTAATACATGAATGTGTCTTTCTGATTTCAGAACGTACACGAATGTCTAAGAACTGAGGTGTAAAATGCACAACTGTTGTTAAAAATTATTTTGCTGATGGACTGCCTCAAAAGCCGTGTCTCAAGTTAGAGATAAATGGGTATCACCATTCAAGAGCACACTGAATTGATATCTTATGGAGCGGTGACTCAAAGTGTCACCGTTTATATCTTGGAAGGTATAGGTTGGTCTCAACAAATTTGATACCTACAGATCAGTAATGATTCCGTCGATGGTAACCAGCTCCCTCATTTCATCAGGTTGAATAGCTCACCACAACATAATAGAGCTCCTGGTACCAGGGAATTTTAATACACTCGTGCCGTNCCGTTTATTTACCCTAATACCTTCTACTGATCATTTCCAACTGAGATCTGACTGTCTCAATCCAAACAGCATAAATCCTTTTTTCTGTACCACTGACACCGAAGCCTAGCCCACTTGAGTCGCGCCTTAGATGAAAGTTCGGTGCCGGAAGTAGGTTTGCCGGCAGACATACATACAACACTCGTCTCAGGGTCGAAAAGGTCAATTTCTTTGACAAGGATAATTTGGCCACAAAGTAATTTCACTGCTGACAGTTAAACATCCATTTTTGTTTCCTCTCGAATGCTGAAGAAGCTCAACCAGTACCAGAAGGACGGTGGTATATACCAGTTACTTTGCGTAGCTTTGTGAAACTACAGAATGAAGATTGGGGTTTAGTTGGCGATTTCGAAATTCATTTGTTCAGCCTGTCGGCTTTCCACCTACCGGTAATCCCACAAATGAACAGTCCCAAAACAAATGATAAGGAAGCTGGATTCTTGATTCTTTCCCTATCTGAATAAAAGTCATCCGCATTGCAGGTATGTGTGTTTGCGAAAATCAGGTTGTGTTTTAGCACCTCACTGAACTTGTGGAATTGCGAGTTGACCGTAATTCCCTCCGTTTGAGTGTGGTCCCTACTTTTGACCGATAGTGTACGTCCAAGACACTTTAAAAAAAAGATCTTCTAACTTCCTTTTTCTATTTAATGAATATACAAATGTACAGTCAACTTTCAGGAAGGGGGCTGCGGTCATGCCTGGGGACAATACAGATGTAGGGAAAACGGGCGTTGGTGGAGCCGTTTGAACCCGACACATTATCCACGATCGTTCCAAACGGTAGTCGGATGGCACTGAATAGGACCGAAGAGGACCAAACTGCGATATGCACTAGCCACTCTGAATACTATTACGGGCAAGCAGTTTTGACCACCTCAAGGGTTCAGTGATAACATAAACCTACCATAAAGTTGTATTTCAGCCTTGTCTCTACATTGTGATATACCTACGATAACAGGGACATCTATTTTGAAGATACTGTTCAGTATCACTAAAACTCCTGGATTTATATCATAATCGATGTGTTATTTCCATCCCCGTTCCTCACCAAGTACAGAGGTCGGATTCACAGTATGTATATCATTTGATAGCACCGATAAAGGCAAGCTGAATTGGAGTACCAAACAGCACAAACTATTGTTGTTGAGAAATGCGGACGGCTAATTGTGAAATGGGTCAAAAGAGCCCTATGACCACTCCACAATAATACGAAAACTCTGACATTTTAAATTATAACTCTGTAGCAACGATACAAACACCAGCCTGTGCAATTTGTACTCATTAAAAGGAATTTGGTGTCAAGTTCGGCCATCGCTCACTTTTTCCAATCCAGATTTGGCTGGTGGTGTTGGTGGTGGCGCAGTGGCCCAGTCGCTATCAGCGGATCCTGTGGCTCGGGCCCTGTCACTGACATTTAACGTTGGTGTCAGACAGATTTTCTGTCGTCCGGTTCAATACCGTGCCTAAACTAGCGAGGCTTTATTTGTCTCGCCAACCCAAGTCCCGGAACTTGGGTTTGCATCACTATGAGGTTTGCTCCGTCTGCTGTTTATCACGCTGACGTGTGCAATCAAAAAGATACTCGGTTGAAACAGAAATCACTTAATGTGCCGGTAAACGGGTCGAGGACATACAGATTCCGATCACTGTTGATGGCCGAAGCGATGGCAATTCCGCTTCCGAACCCTGAGCTAAATTCTCAACTGAACTTAATTCAAACCACTGGACGTTTATAGTAAATAGTGTATTACGTCACTGGTAAACCGTTAGTCCGTGAGGACGGTTAAAACAAACGCACCCTCGGTTTAATCGATTGACTTTTTACTTATAAAGCCAACCAAAGACAGACTTTTAATCTTTCGTTTGCACATTTTAAAATTGAATGAATATGACTTCAACGGTTTAGAAATGAAAACAGTGAACGCCGATGTTCGCCTTGATTCTATGGATTTAGATTAATCTTGTGTTAGGTAAATTTAAGATCTCTAATCAAAAAGATCTGCTACTCTTGTCTAACCCAAACCCAAAAATCGCTTGATCACTACAGAATGACCGGTGTAAAAATTGGTTTAAACAATGATTGTCACTCGTCTAATTATTTCGGATCTAATAGAATAAAATTTTGCTAAAAACGAAAAGTAAATTCTCATTCCATCATAAACTGGATATGTGCTTAATGTTGGAAAAGCGTTTCTTCGACTGAACAGGGGGGTGGTAAGTGAAATTTTCGACTATCATCCCACAGCTATCCAGGACTCCTACATTAGGAATATAGCATCTTTTTCACAGTTGCAACATCACCAGGACACGCTTCATTCACCCATGTTTATCAACCTATTTCGTTCTTTAGCTTTTGTCAGTCAGGCCCAATTACCCCAAATCAAGTCCCCTGGGTGTACAGTCAACACTCCCGGAGCGCTTTCCACATCTGCCATGTCTACTCCGGTGGCCTCTATGAACAACCCATCCACACAACTGTTATCAAATGCAAGTAACCCTTTGCTTCAAATGCCTGCAGCCCAGCTGTGCGGTCTGGGTGACTTGAACACATTCGTAAATAACCCAATGGTGACCACATCCAACTCTTTGTCCTCAGTTTCGAACTCAAATGCCTGCCTAGTCATGATAACCGGTGCCCCAATGGATGCTAGCGCTGAGGAATTGAGCTCGTTATTCCAACCAATTGCACATTTACTTTCGGTGAGTTTTTGATGATACTCCAGCTAATTTTATCTATATGACACTCGGATTTACCTATGTCCTTGTTTCGATTCAAAATCATTTGTCATTATTGATTTATTCATGTGTTCACTCACCTGATTCAGGTAATATGCCAAAACCAATTACAGTATTTTTACAGCACAGTCTACGTCAAAGTTTTCTACAGTAGGCACTGTGATTTTTCTGAGGCTGAATTCGTAGGCCCCTTTGCAACTAATCATGAAGTTTGGTTTAGAACTATCGTTCAAAGACCATAGCTCCAACTCTAAATAAACTTGCTTCAGTGACGGAGATTGCACCAACGGTCTTCTGATACCTCACTATATATACATATATATATACATATATATATAACACGTTGTCAATTACATACAATTGGCTAGAGCGCCCTATCACTGCCATTTCTGAAGCTAGCGCCTCCATTGTTCGAGCCTAGGTTATTCGCTGTCCACCGTGTTGCCGCTTTCAGTTAGTGTCTGCTTACGCAAACATAACACGATGCGGCAATCGTTGAGCCGGCATCCGCAACACATGTCCTAGCCCTCGAAGTCTTTAGAGAGAGATAACGGCACTCAAAGGACGACTGAGATTGTCTGCGATGAAGATTCTTCGGCGAACCTCGTCGTTGGTGATTCGCTGTTGCCAACGTATTCTGGAAGATGCAATGAAGGCAACGGTGGTCAAAGACACTTAATCTCCGTACGTCTTCTGCGTGGAGGGGCCAACTCTCACAGCCGTAGAGTAGGGCAGAGCGTACTGTGGTATTGTAACCGCGGCCTTTCAAGGAGAAGCTGAGATCGCGTCGGCACCACAAGTAACGTAGGTTAGCGAAAGCCACTCCAGCCTTGCGGATACGCGCTGACATTTCTTCTGTCAGTCCTCTTGAACTGAAACAGATCCCGAGATAAATAAAGTGACTGACGACTTTTAACTGGTCGTTCATGAAGATGAGGATAGATGTAGCCTCTTGCCAGTCTTGTTGTAAAACCTTACAATTCGATGGAGAAAAGGTCATACCGAACTGCGTGACGGACAATGCTAACTTACACGGGAGGAGCCGCAGAACAGAACGATGTCGTCACCATATTTCAAGTCACGGAGTCGATCACACGGGAGGAGCTCCACACTGGAAGCTCTGAAGTTTTCTAGAGCACCGCTTATGATTTTGTCTATTACGAAATTAAAGAGGAAGAGCGAAACCGTTATCCTTGTCGAACTCCAATTGTGATGGTAAATGAAGGGGAGATGCGATCATAGACCTTGACACGGCCTGATGTGTTTGAGTAGACGGCTTTTAAAGGATTTACATACTTCTCAGGCACACCGCTTCGTAATAGACAAGTCCAAAAAGCTGCTCTGTCAACTGAGTCAAACACACAGTCGGTCTACTGAACGTTTGACGTTGCTCGAGCATCTGGCGTAGCTTAAATATGTGATCCACGCAGCTCCGGCCAGGACGAAATCCAGCTTGTTCTTCACGAATCTGACGCTCTCTTGTCCAACTGAGCCTGCGAAGGATCAACAACGTTAACAGCTTGGATGCAACAGAGGTGAGACTGATTTCTCGGTGATTGTAGCAATCTTGGCGGGGGCCCTTCTTGAAAACAGATATGACGTCCACCAAACTCCATTCTGATGGAATGGATTCAGTATTCCAGATGGTTTGGAATAAGGAATTTAGTTCACGAACAAAGTTTCCATCACCGTCTTTGAAAAGGGCCGGAAGGAGCTCATCTGGGCCGGGCGATTTGTAGCGTTTCAGAAGTCTGAGCTCTCAGAACACTTCTTCCTACGTAGGCGATGAAACGTTCACAGACCATGGAGCACTACAGACACCGGGAGATGGAGGTGATGATGTCGATGGTCAAATGAATTGTTGATGAAAGTGCTCCGTCCCGCGCCCAAGCCGACGCCTTAGATGGTGAATACATTCGCCATTAATTTCGCATATGGTTTCACTGACGCATTGTTTTTTGTTACCGGTGGCTAGGATTAGTCGAAAAAGTTTATGAGCATTACCAGAAGCAGCAACTAGTTCCATCTCGGAAGCGCTTTATGCCCATCAGGTCTCTCGATCCTCTTTTAGGAACCATTCCAGTTCAGCACTGAGATTCCTGATAACTGTGTTATATTTATTGCCTGCTTTAAAGAGTGTCGAGCAGTTGGAGAGAACGTACCGAAACCCAGTGATTTGCTGTGCATTTGGTGAAGCCACATGCTGTGGTGGCGGACTTAGGCATGGCGTTACGGATGTGAGTTCACCGGTTGTCAACGTTCTAGGATAACAGACTGTCTAGGTCCATGGCTAACGTGTTTTGGATGGCGGTTACTACGTTTGGGTCAGTCAGTTTCATTAAATCCAGTCTTCTCGGGTAACGTTGCTGTTTTCCGCCAAAGCGCAGAGAGAATTTCGCGCGCATGAGTGCATGATCTCAGCAGTAATGTGTTCCAGATTGATTTGCACTCCGTTATGCAATTTCTCCATCGATAGCTGATGGCAATATAATCTGTTTGAGTCCAGATCTGAGTAGACGATGAAGCAGCACGTTGGTGCCATGGTCGGTGAAAATTGATGCTCGAAAGGAAGAGACCATGTTCAANTCAACACAGATTTGCAGAAGACGGTCACCATTGTCAGCTCTTCTAACACTGGGAATATGCTGGCCACCAATTGAGGTTTCGTCAGCGTCTAACCTACCTACATGTGCGTTCAAGTCGCCGGCTAGTATCACGATGTCAGTGTGTAGAGGAGGTTATTGAGCTGACAGTAGAACTCGTAGGTTTNGTTTTTGTCCCACCACGAGATACACTCATTGTTTCTTTTAGACGGATGGTGCAGAGTCGACTATTGTTTGGAATCCAGTCAAGTAAAACTGCTTCTGCACGTGCACTTAGGGCTATCCTCACGCCGGCCTGACCAGCGGCCTCTGCCATCGGATCTCCGGAGAGTCGGAGGGTGAACAAGCGTGCAGAATCCGAAGACGGTGGAGCGAGTTGCGGTACGGTGCTCGGATCCTGCAACCGTGTCTCAGTAAGGCAGCAAACGTCTATGGCAAGCGGTTTCAGTGTGCGAGCGAGTGTTGCCTGAGCCCCAACTTGTTCGAACGTTGAAAGTCGCGACCGGAGCGCGAGCACATTTTTCGGAATAACCTGATCAGAAGTTTGTTTCTCTCACATGGGAACAAGACTACGGTTTCTGCCGTTGTCTTGAGCAACCCACTGTTGGAGACTGGAAATAACAGGCGGTAAACCGAAAATAGGAGATTTCAATAATTGAAGGAGGGAAAGAGTGTGATCTGTTGGTGTGATAACGTGTAACTGTGTGGAGCCGACCGCCAACACCTCGATCAAAGAGCGCATAGTTCGTTAGAGCGAAAAATTCGGAAATGTATAATGTTTGTTCGTAGGTTTTAAAGGCAGGTTACTTTCCGGTTGCCCTCGCTGAAGAAGGGGGAAAACCTCGGGATCCCTACCCGAAGCCTTTGGCTAGAAAGCCAGACCTGCGAGACAACAGGATGGAACTCAGAGTCCGCCATCCATTGGAGGCCGGTGTCCTGTTCATCGGCTCACACATCCTTCGGACGGGGACAAACGTCCAAGATGCCCAATACACCTTGATGACCAATTGATCCAGTGACCCGTGTCACGACCAGAAAGGTGTGGGTGGTTCGTACGCCTCTTCTTGGTTGGTTTGGAATCAGGGTTTTAGCCATCTCCCCTAGGTGAACTGTCAGTGGTTCACTGACCCNGTACCAGATTTCGGCTTTTCGTCCTCTCACTTTGGTGGGGAAAATACACCTCCACCACGGGAAGGCAGTGAGTAGGGCTTCCTCAGCAGAGGCTATTTGAGACACTTGGTCGTATGAGAGCATTTCGCAAGGGAAGGTAACCAGTCACAACCCGAGACGCCCTCCCCCGACCATACTGAGTCTTTTGGAGGCATACGTACTTCTGGAGAAATCCCTTCACGAAACCAGGTACGATTTAATAGCTAAATGGACTCTAATGTCACCAATTGTCGTCGTATCAATGAGGCGTATTCATCCAGATACACCCAAGAGAACAAACACCTTCCAATGACGACATAGTACCACCGTCGGGTGACCATACTCTTCCTCTGAGTTTGTCAATATATACATAGATATTTACATATTCATATATATATAGATATATATATATGATCAAAATACTTACTTACTTAACATTTTGTGTCAATATCTGGCTGCATATGCGATGCGGAAACTGCTGGCATGCACTCCTCATTACAGGTAATGTCTTTTACCCAGCGGGCAAACCACTTATGAACTCTATGTTCTCGAGGCTGAGGCAACCTTTTCTTTAATTTTTGTTGTTGTTTCAGTCACCTCCACGGTTCACTCTTCACCAAGGTCAACCAAATGGAACAGCAAACTTTTTAGCCTTATTCAACAATCCTCTGGAAGCTCAAACAGCGGCTCTCTACTGCCCACGAGGGAGTTTACGAAACAACCAGTATGCTATTGGAACCGCTTGTCTTGTACCTCCCGGACCCACTGTGGATGTGAACGGAACAGTACAATACAATCCGTCCGCTCCCAATTTGCTGTTCGGTGGCCCTCTGGCAATGAACAATTCCAATCTCTTCTTCAGCTGAGTGATTGTACAGATTGGCAAGCCCCACTGCTGGACTATTCACTTTAGGCAGATCAATACCAGAGCTTGGTCGGTGAAATTCCTTTTACCTATATACCCATATTAAACCAACGAAATTTGTATGACAAGCGACCTTGGATGATCCTACCAAGCTCAGAACACGATAAGTTCTGTGATAACAGAGAGGCCTTTCTGAGTGGAACTAATAATCTTCGTTCTGTTTCCCCAAGTCTATTCCCGTTTTCCATGTGGTTTGACCACTAGGTGCTTTTCCCGGACACATATTCCGGATCTGTTGCTCAGTCACGCTGCATACCATGGTCTTTCGAGAATCACCATTTGTGAACTGGGCTGACTTCCCAACTTTGTGGACTAGTCCAACTATCAGACTGACATCCAGGTAGAATTTATTAACTAATGCTTCCTATATTTTTCCAGGAGGGGAGGAGAACGTAGAAACATCCTGTAGCACCCACTGTTTTGTCTTTGTCCGTTTCCGATGTGTAGAATCATCATTTGTTCATTAATTGATCCTTTCATTGTGTTTGGTGGGTGTGGTGAGTATTACACGCAGAAAAAACTATTTCTATTCAGAGTCTATTTGCTATTGGTTCAATAAAATATCTTTTGTAATACATTGTTCATTTGCTTTTATAACGCTGGGGATAGTTTGTCGTTCAAGAGCCTGGCTAATTACTTGTGTTGATACCGCTCACAGTAAAGTCTGTTGCATCAAGAGGGACAAAAAATCAGTGGAAGAAAGAACGGAGTTCTTTTCCGGACAGCTACGCGAATGTAGCACACAGAGTTGTGAATCGATATGTAGAATTTTGTAGACAATCCGAAACGAACAAGGTGATACTTTGAACCCTGGCGTGCACTCGACATCGAGCAATAATGTGGCCCGACCATACAGACATTGATCAAATTATTATTGTTCTAAGCGATCGAAAAATAATGCTTACCATTTGCCAATATCTGGCTAAACATCGGGATTAAAACATCGTCCTGCATTGGGTTTGGGAATTGACTGCATATAATGTAAAATTTACCTAAGTAGGTTTTATCCAAGCAATTGCCTGTATGGGAAGCTCAGGATCGTTGTAGACAATGGTTACAGGCATTGAGTGATATGGCTGATTGTCGTAAACAACGGCGCTCATGCATCGTCCCACTTTCCTTTCAACTTTAGGCTACTGGAATTCACCATTTCCTCTTGGACTCAACTTTCAACTCTCCAATCTTTCTTCTACCCCGTCGTCCAAATAAGCAGTCAACCAGTAGCAACCAGAACCAGCTCACAAAAATACATGGTAAATGATTGTACAAACTGAAATGGAGTACACGATTATCCATCCGACTCGCCTTTCCAGATAAAGACAAAGCAGTAAAACCCCAGTCTCTCTAGAATGAACTTCTCAATCTGTACAACTGAGTTAACAATACTCGTAACGAGGTGCGATGATTAAGAGACTATATTGTTTGTAGGCACAGATTTACGTGACTGTAAAAGTCGGTATGCATCCGCAAGTGGATGTATGACAATCTCAAGGGTTAATGTGCAGAGGATGGAAAGCCATCTACTATCATCACTGTAATTTGTTATGAGTTTCACAAAGAATAAATACTTTTGAGAGTTGATAGATTGTTCCGACCGAAGATTACTGTTGTTTACTCGAACTGCAGCTAACTTGCAGATAACTCGAGGCCAACAATTCCACAACGATTTTACCTTCTAATATCCAAGGGTAAAATGAAGAGTTGTGTGCTAGTAACATTAACTAAAACTTCAGAGTGCTTACAATCAGACGTTAAGCTAGATGACAGTATAAGCCTAGTACAAATGTGTTGTTCTAATTAGCGTTTACCAAATAACGGAGTCAAAGTACATGGGAATCATGTTTCTCAAAATTTCGAGCAAAACTTTTGCTGACTTTACTCAAATTACCCAAACGAATTAGCAAAAATAGCTTATATGTGTTATTTAACGGGTTTTTCGGTTTGGTAATAAAAGAGTTGTCCTATATTATCGTTGTGGATGCTCCTAACATCGAAATTTGAATGCAACCGTTTGGATTGGTTGCAGATACTGAATGATTTAGCTGCCGATCGATAGAATTAGGCAGCTTGTTTTCATTTCTAATCTGATCAGAATGCTTGAAGAAATTAGGCTTTGAACACAATATGTTGATCATAGTTGTACGCTTTCGGCTCTCTTTATCTCCAATTCCCAAACAATCCGTGCCAGTGTCTATCCAATTCATGCATTCCCAGTTCCCATGTACGTGTGAGCTAAGCAACATCAACAAAACTTTGTTTCACAGTTATTTGCTTACCTAACAATGACTATGTTGATAATTTAAATTGTTATGAAATACAATTTAAAAAATGAGTAATGACCACTTGTGAAATACAGTAAATTTAGTTGTTCACTTGGTTCATATTCAACATATCAAATCATCAATTTTTGGTTCCGATGTCATATGTACATGTAGTTCGTCGAGATGCAAATGAGTTGCAGAGAGCTAAACGAATTTGGCGTAGAACAGAATTGTAGCGAACAAGAGGAAAACGAGGGCACGTGTGATTTTGATCGTTTTCGCTGGATTACATCCGTCGCCATCCTGACAATAGCACACTTCTTTGTAGACTCCCTGGGCCTCGAACCAATAACGACAACCCCAAGCCAAGCCTGTGAGACATTTTAAAAGAATCGGCAGAGTAGATACAGTTAAACATGTTTAATCCAATAATGAAAAGTGTAAATATCAATTAGACGTGCATGTGAAAGAGAAAGAACCTGGTGTAATGGTTAAACGATAATTATTTGTATGCTAGCGGACAGTGTGGTTCATCATCGACACCTGAAAAACATACGCCAAATTTCAGGCGAAAAAAATCAAAGGTGCTTAATTTGCATTCATTTGTGACGTTTTTGTAGTCATAATAAAATAGTAAAAAATGACTAATTGGCATCTCCACTATTCTAGATCGGTGCTTAGACTCTCACGTGGAATGAGGCCACAATGTTTGTACTCGATTGGTCAAGCCTGACGAACAAACACAAACAAACAACAACAAGCGATTAACGACTTTTATTCGTAAACACCCATTTATTTACTGTTTTTCTTCAATCAACAAGTATTTTACTACAATTAGCGAACAGATTTCGTCCGAGTTGTATCATTCGAAAGCACTCTGTCACGCAGTTGAGTTCCCTCCTCAATTTGTGGCATACTCATAACGCCAGTTGTTTGGCAAACTCACTGTAATACATTGTTATGATCGACAAAGATTTCCCTTTCACCAGTGGGAACTCACATTCCCAAATTGTACAACAGCGCCTCATACTTGGGCTGATTCATACGTTTCATTCCATATTATATTTTCACACACATCTGAATTCATACTGTATGCCGATCAAATCACCGTACGATAATCTTTATGAAGAGAAAAAGTTCCACGATTTGCTCCACGAAAACAATACTACTAGTTTGTCCCGGCCAACCGGAGCCACAATCGCAGCCGTTGATTAACCACAGCTTGACCCAAAAGGTAGCTGGGCGATATAAAAATCACAATGCACGAGGGGCTGGTGTACAGTTTATCGTACCATTCACCGTTTGGAGGAGATGAAATTTCCAGTGAGATCAATACACTTTCATGCTTCATCGAGTCGGTAACGACTAGCAAAACCTAGGTGTGTGGGGTGCGTACTCCTCTTATTGGTTGTTTTTCAATCACAGTTCTTAGCCAACTCCCTTAGAGGAGTTGCCAATGATTCACCGAATCTATTATAGCTCCGGATGTTGACTTTTCGACCTCTCACTTTGGTAGGAAAACACCACTGCAACGGAAAACAGTGAGTTGGCCTTCCTCGGTAGAGACTATTTGAGATGTTCGGTCGTATGGGAGCATTTTGAGAATAGCTGGGAAAGAATGATCGGCCACAACCCGAGACACTCATCACACTGGAATAAAAATGGAATAAAAGTGCCATGTATCACAAACATAAAGATTAAACAAAAAGATACATCTGTGTGAATGAGTAAACATTTCATGTAGAAACGTTTTCTCGCTATCTAAAATTTCAAACAGAAAAAATCCCTCTACGATATTTTGAGTAGAAAGAAAACGGATATGATTGTTGCCTGGCAACTGCAGGTTGATATTTCGGCACTGAGGGGACAGTCATGGTCATTACAATCCTTAAAGGCGAAATTCTCACAACGGGGATGAATAA